TTCAGCAGAGTAATGAATTATTGTTCTCCAAAAGGATCCGTATACTTCCAGAATCTCAACCTAAAACTAAACAAAAGCCCAATTTACTTACCATCAAACAATGCCATGCACTTAGGTCAAAGTCACTAAGCGAATCTTTACGCTTATTTGCATTCATTTCAACAAAATTCAATGGCAAACAAAACAGTGCGTGAATTTGAGGAAAATTTGATTCGTTGGTCACCCATAATTCATGCTTGAGGCAATTTGAATGCCCCAATAATAAGCGCAAATGCCACAAGTTTCGTCTTACTTGACTTTTATTGACTTACCGGGGCGGTGGTCTCGGGGGTCTCGGTTGTGATTTTGTGTGATTATAAATTAAATAAGTTCCAGGCCGCTGTGAATAATTTGTCCATTACATTTTGAAGGTTGTCTGCAGTGTACGTCCTGCCAGACTTTCCTTGAAATTGTTTAAGATTCGATTTCGTTGGAAGATGCGAGGGGTCAATCAATAAATTACCGAGAGCCTGGGCCCAAGCCGGTGAAGCAGGTATTAATTTAACATTCAGTCGGGGATACGGGGCGTATGCGTTATCGGGCTATTATCAATACATTGAACTCTTGGGGCAGCCTTGGAGTCTGCCGCAATCCTTCGGTCATTGCGCATAAATATAACAACGCTCGGGTATTTTTCCTTCACTCGCTCATTTCGCAGCATTTTTATTCAGTTTTGCATGTCTGAGACATGTCTTTGGAGGGCTCTGGCGCTGATTTAAATTCCTAAAAGGCTCTTACTAGGAGGCACTGTGGGGCTCACAAAGTGTTTGCCATAACATTATTCTAAAGAGAAGTTTTCTGGTATTTTTTTTTTTGATGAAACTGAAGAAAAGGATTTCTTAAAAATAGTTTATTGGTACTTTAAGGTACCTTTAACAGTTTGATTTTTATGAAAAAGACTAGGTATTAGTTGCTGTCTAAATAAATAAGGCAGGATATTCATATTAGCTCAGCTAAAAATCCTAAAATATATCTTTACCCACGGTGCTTCGCTACTTAAGTCGTCCTTGCAACTAGGCACGTTTTGTTATGCTTAGTTTGGGCACTCGGAATGGCGATGTCTGGCCCGGCTTATAACAGTTCAATGCTTCCCATTTGATATGGGTTTAATTTGCTTGTTGCACTTTCTGGCGGACAATTGCTTATTCCCGGGATTCCTCTGGGAGCCGCAACTGCGGCGTGTCCCCGACAGCTGGTCAGGTTCGGGCAGCTGTGTGGCCTTTTGGCCAGTTGGACACACCTTGGCTCTCGCTTATTAGTTGCCCAACCGGGCTTTGCGTATTAGTGTCAGCCCCAATGCCATGGCATTTGTGCTGCGGCCAGTGGAGCAGTCCGCAGCAGAAGCTAATGGAGGAATCAGGTCGGCTTCACCGCCAATTCCCCTGTCAGTTGCACGACGAGAGCTCCTTGGCTTCGTCGGGAAGTCGCCTCTCGTAAACGTTGAATTATACATATTTCATGAGACTCCTCTGCTGGTGGACAGGGGAGAAAATTGCTTAAAAAAAGGATGCAAGTTCATGTGACACCCCAGCAGGAATAGTTTAAGTTGTGGTTCTTGTAAGTAATTGAGGAAACAATAGCCAATATCTGGAATTTATATGGGTTCTTTTCGTATATAATTGACCTTCTATTAAAATTTAATGGCAAAGAAATATGCATTCTATCTTATTTGAATTTCAAAGTGTAAAATCAATTTAAAAATTCCCCTTTTTTTACTCAACCACAAACTCTTGGGCAGATTCAAGTTCAGCTAGCGTAAGTGCAAGTAATCAAGATCATACTGAAAGTGAAATCAATTTCAGGTGATGGACTCTGCCGTGCCCTGAAGTAGAGTTTATTGTATTTTCTAGCGCATTTTCTCCTTTTTCTCTTGGTTTTGGCATATTGAATGAGGCCGAAATCCTTCTTTTGTATCGGCCGCATGTGGCCATGCGTTCTGTGTACGTTTATAAATATTGAAATAGATGTCAATAACATTTTCACACGCTGTGTGCCTCAGGCCCAGAACCCACCTTCCGACCTGCTAGCACCCCGGGATAAATGGAGGCCCAGAGACATTTGGGCCTCGTGCGTGTCGCACCCAAAAATCTGTTAATAATGATGCTTGACATATGTAGGCAGTTGGCTGTAAGTCGAGGGCAAACAAAATGGAAGCCAACCGAAAGCTGACGCATTTGTGCGTGTGAAATATGTTTTGTCAACTTATTAAATATGCTCACTTCCAAGCCTCTCCTTTTTGGGAATTTGATTTGTCTGCTTTTTTGCTGCGGCTTTCAATACGTGCCTGGGCATTTCAATGGCGGGGACGGAGCGGCATAAACAAATGCGGCCTGGCTTTTGGGGGCCCCGGGTCTAATGTGGTCGAATTGATGGTGATGAAATTATAAGGTGTGTGAGGCTGGGGGCGTGATTGAGTTATATTGGCATCGAATTGAAATGAATTATGTCAGCAAAACATATTGATGGAGCCTTTGCTGGCAGTTGAGTCATAAAAAACTCTTTGCTCGGCAGAGATTTCAGCGCCCAAAAGCCACAGGCAAATGGTTTATTACTCCTTTGGAATTTAGTTGTTATATTACTTAAAATGTTTTGATATATATTAGGACAACCAAGTTAATTTATCTAATTTAAGAAAAACGAAACAGAAAGCACTTGACTCTTGACAAGTTCCAAAGGAAACAAAAACTGGGTTCGGTGACTAAAATCATCAACTGAGTCCCACATATTGCCACAGGACATTTGTCTGATGGAATGACCAGCGTTTTAGAGTCCTGTCCGGCTTTGCCTTTCCATTCAACTGCCATGTTTATTGTCAGTTGAAGGCAATAGCAGCGGAGAAAGCTCTATATTCTACCGCACTTATTTTTATTTAGCCAAAGAAAAACAAAAAATGTAGTTAGGCGAATTCAAGCTCTTGTCGACAGACCAATCTTCAAATACCCTTTAAAACGGCTGCCTAAAAAATACTTCTAAATAATAAGTACTAAGATGGATGTATCTGAAACAAAAGAATCCATAGATTCGTGGCAAAAATTTTGCTTTTCTTTAAATATTTTTTATGGAAACGATCTACAGTTAGTTTGAATTTCCAGGTTGCCAATAAGGGGATCCACATGAATTCGTCACAACTTCTTTCAGGATATAAAATGGTACAGAAAAACAGAGTGAGACTCGGAGAAAAAGGTACTTTATCTGTGACTGTCGAGCAGACCGTTGTGGTGTATCCTCTCAGGTCGCCTGGCCGTATTTACAGGTAAAACCCCATTGAGATGTGGCCCGTGTTTTGTTTGTGAACAATCTGCTTTTTGTTTTCGCCGTCTCGTTGGCGCCCGGCAACAGAAAGAGGCGACATCAGCAGGGGACGAGAACAAAAGCGCAACTTCATTTTAATGGAGTAGACAACGTCAGCCATGGCGACGCAAAACAGGCGCCACACTCTCACAGATGTCACGCCCCCAAACGCCCCAACGCCCCAAACGCCCCTTTTGGCCACATGGCAGGCGAACGCTGCTCTGCGTGCGTGCTGTTGACGGGACTTTCCTTTGCCGTGTTTAATTGTGGCATTAAATTTTAGTATTGGCAGTCATAACCTTTAGCCACCTTCGTTTTATAACCGACGTTTTGTGGGAATATTTCGCATTATAGCGAAAATTGGACAGCGATTGTTATGTTATAAGCCACGGGGAGTTGGCATACCGATTGTGAAGATAAAGAGTTAAGTTTTGGTAGTAGACGAGAATGTGGTAGTCAGGGTCATATGCCGAATCTACTTCCCAGTTTGTGGTAGCTGTAAAAAGGTATCATAAATATCATTACATAACTAACTATTGGTTAACTTATTACATTCAGATGCATACCATTTTTTTCAATAATTCTATTAGCTAAACTTATTGTGCATTTGCCCCAGATTTCATGTATTTCAATCACCAATACCTTTAGGTAATGCATTTTCACTGTAGACCCAACAAACGCAAGGATTTCCCCTAGATGCCGGCTGTCCATTTGGCAACCCAGATTTCCTGGGGGTCTTCGCCTTGCGGATGATGCAAATGTAAAAGCCTGGCCGAAATCATTGCACCTCCATCTCGTATTTTGGCGATGGGGTATAGTGTCATTAACAAAGCCCACATAGGTGAACCATGGCACCACCCGCAGCCATCGAAATCACCTAGCCTAAGGGTCACACTGAGGAAAAATAGGCCAGACAAGTTTCAATTAAGAGAAACATAAAACAAGAGTTATAGAGCTCAGAGACCCAAGAATGTCCCTTATCTATTATTTTGAAAAAAGGAAAATTATTCAATTCAATCTTAAAATAATTTTAGGTAACCCCAGGCACTAAACTTATTTACATAATCTGTTGCCAGTTTTTTTGTAGTGCACATTCCAGTTCTCCAGCCGCGCCAACATAATTGATGAGTTTCGCTCTAAGCAAGGAGCGATGTCGACATCGGTTTTGGTGGCCGGGGCTTCCTGAGAGCGGTGTTTGTATGTTTGCGGTCACCTTTCACAGATGCGCACACAGATACACATGCCCGCACTTCCCGAAGCTGTGTGCCTGTGTATGTGTGTGTGTGGGCGTACGTGTTAGTAAATTGGCTTATTTTGTCGACAGCTTAAGTCCCTCGGGTATTTATTGAAATTTAGTTGAAAATAGCAAAACACTTAAGTTGGCATTTCTGGACCATTTGATGATAAATGATGTATTTACATAGTTAGATGGGATTACTATTAAATCCTGATATAGCCACAACAACTACTTCAACTGAAAGAAGGGCAATAAAGCCTAGAATACAATTTAACACAGAAATAAGATTATACAGATTATAAATATATTAAGCAGGGAACGCAAATAAGAATTATGAGTAATGTAAAAATGAATAAATAACGAATAACTTTTATTGTAAAAATGAAAAGTTCAATTGCAATAACTCTTTTGGAAACAACTGCTCTAGATACTATATAAAATAAAGTTATTAAAAATTAATTAAAATACACAAAAAAATAAAACAATTAAAAAACATCGCTTTGCTTCCAGCCTCACTGCCGCTGGCCTCGGGCATGGCATTGTCCACTCGGGGCAGCCGTTTGTTCACCTTGCATTTGTGGACCATGGCTCTGCCCATGGCATCGGCGGCAAAGGATCTCAGCTGCTTGGCGGAGTCGAGGCCACAGAGCAGGGCTGCCCGCGTGTAGTAGCAATCAAGGACATCGTTGTAGATGTGGCACACCTTAGTTTCGTTTTGACGCTCGTACCAGTCCGCCGGAGCCTCGCACTCGATCATGTCCGTGCGCAGTTCCCGGAGGCAGCTATGCGAGTTCTGCAGCCCGGTGCAGCGCTTCCAGTTGCTGCCGTCCCCTCCGGCACAGACCTCCGTCCGGAAGTAGCGCAAGCCGTCAGCCAGGCGACCGTACAAGTTGTCCGGCGCCAGGACACAATTCTCCATGGAGCTCTTGATTTTGTCCAGCACGTCGCTGATCTCGGCACAGGAATCTGTGAGCGAGGGCTGCGACAGCAGCAGGACAATCCTCTCCGGACTCACCACATAGAGACGGGCCAGCTGCTGCAGCACTGGATTGTCGTTGCACAGGTCAGTCTTTGGTTCCGGTACGAGAGTGGTTGAGCTCCTGAACTCGTAACCAGGCGGACATGTGATCTTGTTCCTGCCGCCGTGTCGACTCGAGTGAGGCTCTAACCCATAGCGCTGGAAGTACCAGGGAAACCATATCGCCTGACCCGTCTCCAGGTGGCTGAGCAGCTGCAGCAATAGCAGCAGGGCTGTCCACTTTTTCGCCATAGCTTGAAATTTGAGTTTGTGATTTGCTTGAAATAGGAAAGATGGGAAGAGAGAGGTTTCTCCATGTGAACTGTGCTCAATATATACTATTTTAATAAAATATATTTTATCTTTGGGATACCTATAACTGCTCCATTTTGTGCACTAATCCACTAAGTTTCTTTGACGACTTCTTGGTTACCTTCTTAATAATACACAATAAGCTCTCGCTTGAGGAGCTCCTTTCGTCCTTCTTTCATTCATTTTTTTTCTGCTTGCGAAATTATCACAGAAATTGCACCATGCAACTGTTGTAACCACTGTTAACCGACAACTGGCACCATAAATTGTGAAATTTAAAATGAAATCCTTGCCTTTCATGCTGTCCATTGGGATCTCCACTCAACTGGGGACCCCATCCAGCGCGGAGTCGCTGGGGAGTCGGGGGGTACTCTTTATCAAAGCGCACACCTTGAAGGACCGGCACAATTTCGTTCGTTCGTTCGCTCTTTTTGTGCGAATTGTCTGGGATGTGCCGAGTGAATTTTATTAGCACTCATAAGTTGTAAAGTGTATGGCAAAGGCGCCCGAGACAGAGCAGGATGGCTTCCGAGGACATCCCGCCCGCCTTGGCACACTTTTGTGCGTTTGCCGCACTTCATGTTAAACAGATTTTTATTGCAGTTTTTTATTTGCTGCGACTCCATCCATCCGTCCCCCCCGCGCTCTGTATGAAATTTACTTTGTCGCTCATTTCGCCCCGTTGTTGCTTTCTTTTTTATTATTTAACATTTCGCAGCCAAAGGAAATGAAATATTTTTGCATGTAAAAAACATTCGACCTCACGCTGTGACAATGTTTTCGCGCTGTTTATGTGGACGATGCCCTCGCCGCCGTTTTCTTTATTTTATTTCACATTTCTGTTCATTTCCGTCACGCAATAAAATAACAAGGTAAATATGCAAAAGAGCAACAATTTAAACGAATCATAAATAAAAGGGGATTCAGATTCAGCGCTCCCAAGTCCTTCTCACTTCATCCGACTGTTATTATCTCCATCGCCACTTCATCGAACCCGGGTCCTGTCCTCCTCCTCCTCCTCCGGATCGAGTAACTTCATTAGGGGATGCCTGACCATTAATCTCCAGCTTCGGGCTTATAACAGATGGCAATGTGTCCCGGGCAGGACCTACAACAATTAGCTGGGAATAAGTGTGTGCGAGTGTGTCCCGGGCATTATCTAATCCAGTCAATGGCGAAATTATGTCATTAGCTTTGGCCAGGCTCAAATCTGCCCAATGAACTGCGTTAAATTCTCTGACTAATTGCTTCTGTATGCGAATGTCCTGTCCAGGACACCGCTATTGGCAAATTGTTGTCGGCTACACATAAGGCAGCCAAGGCCGGGCAGTCATATATAAAAATTAATTGGTTTTTGATGTGCTGTCCAGGGAAAAATACAGCTTAATTAAAGTGATTGGTTGTGGACCACAAAGACGGCCAAGCGCCATCAATTCTTTGTGATAAGTATTTGGGAGAGTGAGCTTAGTAAACTGGAAATTGCCACAACAAATATACACTTCAATTTGAATGCTCTTAAGCATTGATGGCCCATTGACATCATTTAAAATCCCAGACTCTCTCCGTCGAACTTCTTCCATAGGCGGAAACTTATTGCATTTTAAGTGCATCATTTTGCATATAATTTAATACAATTGATTGAACATTAAAAATTTAACACCAGGCTACAAAAATTAAAACAAATGGCCGGAAATTTCAACGCAACGAAAAAAATCGGCTTAATGAAAGTCGCTCACACTCCGACACATGGGGAGATATCAACATGATTGTTTGTTTGTTGCTGCGTCGGCAAGCATAATTAAAATGTCAAACACAGCATAAATCATTTTTCAGTTAATGTTAATGCACTTACGCCGGGGACTCCACTAAATTTTTAATTGCATTTGCATTAAAATCAATAAAAAGCGAGCCACTTGCAGCGGGAAGAGCTCCGTGGAAAGCTAAACAAAACCCCAGAGTAATTACCGGGAGTCACGCCCTTCCCCATACACCGAAAACTGCTGGAAACAAAATCGAATAAAAATGGCACTTAATTTCGCTTAGAATGAACTTTTTAGCCTGGCTCCAGGTGCGGCTGCTTCAGAATGAAAAACTAATGAAAAAGCCAACAAAGTAGGGGCAGTTTGTGGGCCAGTTGGCTGCTAGCTGCTCGAGTGCTTTAGTGCTGGGCTCCTGGGAGCTGGGAGCCTCGAATGGAAATTAGATTGCTCGGCGCCTTGGTCACCTTCACCCGCCAGACAACAAGTTGATACAACTTTTGCTGCCAAAACCCCTTTGCCTTTACCTTTACCTTTACCTCTGCCTTTAGCCCAGGGCAAGGGGACTCCCATTGCTGGGGTAACTGGCTCAAGTCGCCTCTAGTAATTATAAATTTACGCAGGCAAGTGCCCATCCAACGGCAGGTGAGTGCGTCTAAACTTCTGGGGGCCAGCGAGCGCAGCGAGCTGAAGAGAACTTAACTAGCTCGCTTCAAGTACGAATAATAATATTATTGATAGATTACGGTGCACCTCGAGTGGGCTTGTTTTTGATGATGGAAGCCCGGAATGGGGTTAAGCATTTTAATGCCGAAGTTAACAAAGTTGATCCAAAAGGCTGTTTGCACTGCAGCTTCCCGAGTGGCTGTCATGCCAAAGGTAAAACTAGTTTAGACAGTTTCTAGAGGAGTGCTGAAGGGGTTGGGTTAGTCCCAGCTAATTAATTTGCAAACACTTAAATTTCACTCGGGAAAACTTCCACATGGCGCAGTTGCACATGAAAATATCTAAGGAGTTCATTTCATAATATTATAGTGATGATGTTGCAATTGCAAGTAAGCTTAAGGATTAGACAGACTGATCCATAGTAATCCATATGTAAGCCATAGTAAGCAATCATTAAATTCCAGCAAATTCAACCACTTTAAGGACAAAATAAGGGACTTTTTCAGCTTCTGCCTTTGGGACCCTGTAGGCCAAAACAGAAGCCGTCAAAAGGAAATGCGGTAGTGAAAGGTGTTAAGACCCAAGCAAATCCTCGTAGACTTTGAGCCAAGTCTTAGCTGGGTCATGCTGTTTCGGTTTTGCCTCTTCCAATCCCCAAATTTCGTTTCGGTTATTCCCTTCAAATGTCCGTTGAAAAAAGTGGCGAAGGAAAACCAAAGAAAAATGGTGCACGAAGAGTTGTTAAAGGGAAACCCAGTACAATGAACGCACAATATTTTGCAAGTAAAGGGCTCTTCTCTTTTTCTTTTTCTTTACAGCTTACATCTGAAGAAAATTACTGAGGGTTCCATTGTTTCAGTAATCACAGTGGACTTGAGCAGAAATTTGTTAATTAATAGTGTTTCATTTTAGTTGCATTATTTAACAACAGGGGTTGGATTTAATCTGAGGTTAGTTAGACATCTTAAATCAAAGTTGTTAAAGTCATAACTCGTAATCTTATTTAAGCGAAATCATTAGCCCAGCCTGCAGAGAGAGAATCCCGTCTCGCCAAGTACTAAGTCGCGCTTTTGCTGGAACTTTTACCTAAATTACAATCACTTAGAACACTTTTAGTAGACATTATGCACTCATTTTAGACTTCCGTCTAATTTACATGCTATTTAAATTATGCTGCTCCTTGCAGGAGCTGCAGGGAGCCACCAGGAGTGGAGGGCACCCAGCGAAAGCCCGCACCCAATATATAAAGCAGCTTCATCAAAATGCCTGTCTATCCGTCCTGCCCTCTCCTGTCCTATGCTGTCCTGTCCTGCCCTGCCGTGGCTCGTCCTGCTCCTGCACCCATCATGGATGCTGTTCAAACTTGCAGCAGCTGCCGCAGCTACTTTGTAAAAACTTTTGTATGGCATGCCGTGCCAGAGGGAGATCCTGCGGGGGACGAGGGTGATGCCTTGACTCGCCTTGCTTAGCATCTCCGACTGCATAAAATTTTGCCCAATATAATTTAAAGAGCACACCCAAGTGGCCTTTTCTACTCGTTCCATCCTACAGCCCTTCCCTCTATCTGTCTGTAAGCTTTTGCAATAAAAATGAATTAAATGCAATGAAGCAGATGCAGCAGCAATATGCACAGAAAGAAAATGTAACAATTTATATTATAAAAATACATTATTGAAAACATAAATATCTCTCGTAGTACATACCATTCCTCTTCAAATTTTATACCTGACTTTTGGCCTAAAAAAACACTTGAAATGCTCATGTATCGTATGGACTTTTCTTTCCGTGCAGCATCATCTCTAGGTCCCACATCCGCATCCGTATCCGCAGCCGGCGCTTCGGGCGCGCAAATTGTTGCAACAAAGTGGAAAGTGGAAAGCAGCGCCAGCAACTGGTGTCAGTTATTGTTGAGCAGCCAGGTGAGCTGAGGTGAGCTGAGCTGAGCAAGAGTGGGTTGAGTTGTGGTGAGGTTTAGCACAAAGTACGGCGGGGCATTCGTTAACGGCCCCTCCTTGCTGCCGCATTTAATGGCAATTTGTAGTCGAAGGCGGCGGCTTCATGCAAATTTGTGGCTTATAGTTTATCAAGCCGGGCTTCTCCGTCTTGCTACTCGTATTACGTAATGCCCCGCCCCGCAATCCATCGGGCATTACGAAATGCGTAAGCTTGCATAAAATGCGTAAATGGTGGGTTTCGCCTCCCCGGCGGAAACGTGGTAAACGGGTTCGGTGGCCTAAGAGAGAACGGTGTTCTACTTCCTGTGGCTTTTACGGTATAAATGCGTTTAAGGGCAAACATTGGAAGGGGAAGAGCGGGAAAGTCGGTGCTCTGATAGGGCCAATTAAAAAGTTGCATTGCTGTTGTGTACTTCGATTAGGGTGATAAATTGTAGAGGGCAAACATGGCAGGTGAATGAAAATGGATGCCTTGAAATGTAGGTGAACCAGACCCAAGCATGAAGAAGGAAATAGGGCTTAAGGATAGAAGGGTGCTCATATAGATGAGCTTTGCAGAAATCGATCTATAACTATAGGAACAAAAAAGGTGGAATTTAATAATTAATAGTATTAATGTCTT